ATTAACCTCAACTTTTGGGCCATATTGCAATAACAAAAACTTTTGGGGTCACTTTGTACAATACACAAAAGTCACAACTTCATGTAAATACAACTAGAACCCAAACTTTTAATAATGCAAAAACTTCATTAAAGGAACAAAACAATTTGTCCTTTAGCGTTTTTGGACCTAAACGTAAAAACGTAAACTTTTGGGCCAAAGTGAAAATACACAAAAGTATCAAAACTTTATGTAATTGCATAAAAGCCCCAAAAGTACTCCCTTTGAGGGAGTGGCCGGTTTTGGGGAGGGATAAGGTTGGTGTGTGTGTTGATTTGTGAGTTTTGTCAAAAGCATGCAAGTGTATGTGAAAGGATATGTTTATGAAATAATTCAATCACAATTATTTCAATCATCATTTATACAAATATCTAATACTTTAAATACATGATAAATCATTTAAAAACATATCAAATAACCTTTATGAAATAAATCAAAACTTTGAATCAAAACACCAAACTTTTGTGTTCTTGGCAAAAATGTCAAGAACAATGAAGAACATTCATGAAAAACCTAAAATTTTCCATGAACTTTTTTTCACCCAAAAACATTCCAAAACCATTCTTACTTAAGGGAAATAACATCTAACCAAACTAGGGTACTTAGGGGTTCCAAAGAACACATTAAAACACTTTTAACATGTCAAACAAGAACCCAAAAACCACCCTTTGGATTTGGCCGAATTTTCCCAAAAGCATGGCACCAAATTTTAGCTCCAATATTCATGCTTATATGAACAACATCTACAACATTTGAGATAGCAAATTTTCCAACAAAATTTACTTTCAAAGAAGCAAGAATAAAGCTTGTAACAATTACAACTTTTAAATCACAAACTTATGAACTACAAAACCCAAAAGGATTCACCAACTACTAGACCTAGGCTCTGATACCACTTGAAGGAATTATTTTGTGAAAACATGTTCATTTGAGCAACATCATATAGCATGCAATTAACAATTAAAGGCGGAATCATGCTTGCATGCACTCAAAAACAAAACATTACCCATGAAATTCAAAGCCTAGTAGATTGGTGAACCAATAATGAACTCAAAACAAAGTGAGTTGAAATTAATACCTTTGTAGATTCCTCTTTGCATAAGCAAAGGCTAATCACCCAAAGAGATAGGGTCTTCATTCCTTGCTTCTTAGATCCATGGATTTGGATGGAAGAATAGGTTCTCTAAGTTCCCAAAATTGAGAACCTCTAAGTCTCTTCACCAAGGTTAGATTGTGTAGAAGAAATGAGTGACCTTGGAGTAGTAGGATTGCTAGATGTACCCTCCAAGGTGTTGGCCTCTTTAGAGAGAAAATGGAGAGACAATTCTCACCAATTTTCCCCAAAAATAAACCCTTTTACCCTTAATGAATATTTGGCTATAAAGTCATTTATATAGTCACTTCTTAAGTGACCTAAATAACCAAAACCCTAATTCATCTCACTATGGCCGGCCATTTAGGGATTTTAGGGCTTTTGGGCTTTAATGAATCTTTATTCATTAAATTGTCATACAACTTAAGTTAATGGGCTTGACGTTCGAAGCCCATTGGGCCTTAAGGTCCAAAACTATCCCGAAGTCATTTAACGAACTTATTCGTTTGATTAATTAACATATTAATTAATCCTTGCCATAAATCAATGATTAAACCATTTAATCATTATTACTCATTTCCGTTTAATCTTCAATCTCCACCTCTTATGGTGTGCGATCCATTAGGTTCCTTTTAGCGAGGTAGTGGGCGATTAAAACCATTTTACATCGATTGTGAATTGAAACAATTTTCAATTCTCCCTTTAGTGATTATACACTTTTAGGGCTTCCACAAACCATGAGTGACACCTAGCAGCATATCATGGTTACCCAAGCTAATCAGAAGAGGTTAGAGAACCTATTCAGTTCGAGATTACAAATGCAATACGGTCTTTCTCTAATCTAATACTCTTGACCACATTGTTTGGTTTGATAGTTTATTTTCTCATGTCTACTATCCAATGTGTGTCTTGTGCTTATATGATTACCTTGAATGTGATTCGGAACGCATTCCCTAATCTCATTCATACTCTGATCAGAGATTCAAATCATATCAGAGAGTATTCTCCCTCAAACGGTTTGAAGGTTAGAGATCCCTTGTTGCGCATTCACTTGTCTCCATAGCTAAGTCACTTGTCCCCAACGATGCCGTGGACACCCTCCTGATGGGATGACTTTGACATAATCAAAGATCAAGGTCTTAACCACAAGACAACTATGATGCCTCAGGTCAAAGGACTACTTTGCATTATCCCAACCATGAGTTCTCATGTGACATGGAATATGAGAACTCTTCGTTGACCGCGTTCAGTGAACTCATTCTCTATTGAGCACCTACCGTACTTGTCTTGATGTCACACACACCAATGACTAGAGACTAATCACTCTCCCTGAGAGAAGACATAGTACGTACCGATCTTAACGGACTGTCAATGCCCAATTGGCAATCCTATGATCAGGAACATTTAGGATGTGTCTACGAAATGGTCTCATGAATCTAACTTCATTAGATTACATTCTCCCAATCACATATTCCTTGGACTTTATCGTTTAAGCATATAACATTTATATGAGACGGCTCAAACAATAATTTATGCCCTTTATATGTTAAACTGGATTAGTTTAACATGTGAAATGTCCGTAAAGTATCATCACATGATTGGCTTTAGGGCACATTTCCAACAGAATCAACTAAAAAGAAGGAACATTATCCAAAACCTTATCCAACCTTATCTTATCCAAACTAACCTTATCTTATCTTACCATATCCTAATCCTAATCTACCTAAATTCCAGCTGCAAAGGGGACTTATTTTCATATTAGGATACCTACAAATCAGGTTTCTAGAAGCCAAGACCCTATCCCTAAATTGGTGCCGCACCTAGCCCTTCTAAAAGCTCTATTTCCTGATGCATAGACTCCTCATTTTCCTCGCTAGAATCTGATGAGAAGTGTCATATTTCCTTACTAATTTGGAGTCCTAATCCTCTTCTTTCACACCCTTGTCATGCCTTCCCTCTCCTTATAAATATATTGCACCACACACATAAGAGCCATAAAACTCATAAAATCCCCATTGTGCCACAGCTGTGCAAGGAAGGAGAAGAAGGAGCCACCTGGAGTCGTGCTTGCCATTCAAGACGTTGGATTGTTGGAGTGTTTCTAGGTGTATTCTATCTTTGTTTTCAATGTTTAAATTTAATTGTCTTTGTTTAATTGCGAACATGAGGAACTAATTTCGTTTTAGTTAGAGGTGAATTCAAAGCCATGAGCATATATCTGATATGAATTGACTACATCCAGTTATGATTCCATGAATCGTTAATGCAATTTACTTATCTGTTTGATTGATAACTTATTCTTGTGTGTTGATTAAGGGTGCACACTTAGTTTGCATGGAGGGATTTGATGTTAGAATATAAGGGAATTTCACCTAATCGTTATGAACTTATATTCACAAGTAGTAAAAGTCACTAGTTATGATTGTGTTAAGTGAATTCTTGGCAGGAGTATCATGCAGTTCATAGTTACGAATGCCTTGTCAATGCTTATGATTTTCATAGAACTTAATGATCTTTGATATGTATCTCTATTATGCAGTTCATGTAGGGAACTTGATAAGAATAATTTGGTTGCGTCGCTGAGTCCAATTAAATGAATTTAGGAAAATCTGAAGGTTAATTTGTGCAGTTCCCGGTTAACTTGGGGCATTGTCATTCGTGGTTTATAGGAAGAATAACTGGAAATCGATTTGTATGCATATGTGTCATGTGTGGAGAATGACCCTCTAACTAGCCATTCACCCATTCAAAACAGCCAATTTTGTGTCTAACCTGTTTAGTTTATGCAATCTGTTTAGTTTAATTAATTTCGTCCAAATCAATCCCCCCTTTAATTAAGTGTGTTAGATTAGTTAGAAACGTGTTCAAATATGTCCAATTTAGTGTTTTGAGTCTTACTAGTCTTAATTTCATCCAAATAACTTCCTAGAGTCTATTTTGAGTCTATTTGCTAGTATTGTGTTGTTTAGAGTCTTTTTAGTGTGTTTTGAGTTTTTAGTGTCTAGTTGAGTGTTTCTAAGTCTAGTTTTGTGTTTTTGAGTCACATTTGTGTAGATTAGCATCCTTAACTAATCACCAGCCTAGAACGATCCCTACTTATGCGTACTACAACTATCTTAATAGGGTTTAATTTGTGTGTTAGTTTTTATCACATCCGTTGGCATCTTCTGCAAAGAACATCTGAGATACCAAATGTGTATTCCATCGAACACAATCCGAGTCCACCATAAGAGATCTCACAATAAGATTAAGATGTACTCCTACCGGTAAAGGACTGAGCACTTTTGCATAATTATCTCGTGGTAGCCAGTTGTCACCCCAAATTTTAATATTCAAACCATCACCCACCTGCCATCGAGCTCCACACTGAATCAACCCTTTAGATGCCGCCATATTTTTCCAACAATAGGATGAATTTGGCTTTACCGTGGCTTGTAGAAAATCCATTGCAAGAAATAACGAGCTTTAAAGACTTGGGCAACAAGAGAGTGTGGTTGATGGATAATACGCCAACCTTGCTTAGCAAGCAAAGCTAGATTGAAAGCGTACAAATCTTTAAAGTCCAACCCTCCTTCACATTTAGGCTTACACATCTTCTACCAATTCACCCAGTAAATACGTCGTTTACCAACTTCTTTCCCCCACCAAAACCGTACAACCATTTGATTTTACTCATCACAGAATGTCTTCAGAAGCAAAAAGGTCTACATGGTATATAAAGGGACTGCCCGAGCCACAATTTTAATTAAAATCTATTTGCCAGCACTACTTAGAAGACTCTCACGCCATCCATGTAGTTTTTTTCCAGAGCCGATCTTTGATATATTCGAGCGTAGTCTTCTTGGATTTACCAATGAAAACAGGTAACCTGATATAACGATCATGGTAATCCATCCGAGTCATACCAAGGCAATTGGTAAGCAATTGTGCATCCACATCGGTCACATTCGCACTGAACACCACACAACTTTTCAGTTCACAACATTCCTGCAAAGTACTTATGGCAAAAATAAAGCTCTTATATGCAAAAAGTAGATGATGAATACTAGGCGCACCATTACAGACCTTGATCCCTTGTAACCGTCCTTGAGCTTCCCATACATCTAACAAAGCTGAAATACGTTCTGCAAAAATCACAAACAAGAACGGAGGCAACAGATCCCCTTGCTGAATACCTTTTTTTAGGTTGTACGAATCCCACTGGTTCCCCATTAAGCTTGAATGAATAAGAAACTGAAGTGACACACATCATTATCCAAGTAATCCATTCCTCGGTGAACCCCAATCTTCGCATCATTTGTTCTAAGAACGTCCATTCGATGTAATCATAAGCTTTACTAATGTCTAATTTCAGTGGCATCAAACAATTCCAACCACTATTCTTCTTTTTCATAAAGTGAGCAATTTCTGATCCGACCAAACAATTGTCGGATATTAATCTTTCATAATAAATGCGCTTTGGGATGGCGAAATGATATCCGGTAAAATAAGTTTCAATCTATTCATGAGCACTTTGGAACAAATTTTGTATATCACATTACACAAAATGATTGGCCGGAGTTGAGTCATGGAGGTTGGGTTTGCTTTCTTGGGTATAAGAGTTACATGTGTAAAATTAACTTTCCAAAGCATACTCCCCGATGAAAGAAGATAGCGTACTCCATTATAGATATTATGGCCAACAATTGTCCAATGTTTCTGATTAAACCCAGGAGTCATTCCATCTAGTTTAAGCGCCTTGGTAGGGTGCATTTGAAACAAAGCAGACTTTATTTCTTCATAAAAAAACAGTAACAAATGACTTTGGCTTATCTGGGATGTGGCTTTCGATGCAACCGCGCTTAGAATTGCAAAAGCATCTGTTACACCCATGAAGTCAAATAATTTATGAAAATAATCCACAATTACCGATTCCATTCCAGCCTTGCTTACATGCCACTGCCCTGCATCATCAAACAAACGGTGCAGCCTATTTCGTCGGCGTCAAGATGTTTTTTGATGAAAATATGGTATTTTGATCCCCAAGATGCAACTAATTCTTTTTGGACCATTGACGCCAAAATGCCTCTTCCTGTCCCAATAGTGAGTGTAAACGAGTATACAAATCATGTCGTTGAGCAATAGTTGTTTCAGTGAACGGCTTACCAAATAAAGCTTGTAGTTTATCTTCCGTTGCCATTATTTCACCAAGAATTGAACGTTCAATGTTCTTCACCCATTTTAACAAATGCACCCTCATCGCCTTGGTCTTCTCCGTAACTTGATACATAGGGGGATCTAATGCAATTTGTAGACCATCCTGCTTATACCACTATCTCACAACCCTTCCTTACTGACCAACCATCTTTATATCATAAACATTTCTTAAACTTTGCTCTTTTCCTGACCTCCCACTCCAACAAGATCAAAATATGATCCGAGGATGTCGGCTTCATATGGACAACTCTGAAACCCAAAACAAATCAATCAATTTCTATGTGGCGAGCACTCTATCAAGACGAACCTTAATACCACCACCCCTCGTTGTTACCCAAGTAAACTTGTTACCAACAAAACCCATGTCTTTTAGTTCACAATTCATTAACGCAACCTGAAATCCTCATGTTCAACGGCTTGGAAAACTTTGTTCAAATCCCCCAAATAACACCAAGGTATTGATGAATTTTCCTTGAGACATTGAAGCAACTCCTAAGATTTGTATTGTTCAGATTCAACTGGATAGCCATAAAAGAATGTAATTCTCCAGTGAAAGGCATCTCCCACCCCGCCCACCTTAAAATCAATATGATTCGAAGAATATGAGTGGAGTGAAAGCTGGGCTTCCTCTTTCCACAGCACACAGGCCACTAGACTGACCAAAACTCGGTACCGTAAACACACAATCAAACTTTAACTGTGATTTTAGCTTTTCTATATGTGCTCTGGAGCTTTTAGTTTCTCATAGAAAAATCACTGTGGGATTTTTAAAGAGATCGAATCTCTTAAGCGTTCGAATTGCATGGAGGTTCCTAAGCCCCGACAATTCCAACTGGTATAACTCATTGCATTTGGCAAGGTTGAACCTCGTTAGCCTCAGCCGTTGTAAAATTCATTGAACTCGAAGAAGCACATTTCTTTGTGGCATGGGATATTCCAACATAATCCTTTTCCTGATCCATACGTTTCCCTAGTTCAGGAGGAACAAACTTGCTACGGTGCAGCCTCTTACTTCTTATATTACGCTCTAGACGCCATTTTAAATTTTTTCCAACCAAATTTCCAGTTCCAAAAATGAATGGATCCAGGTTGAAAGGATCAGATCCCAACGAAAGTGTAGGTTTAACCTAGTGATCATAACTTTCCTTCCCAACGTCCTTAACATCATCATCTCCTAATTACCAAACACTCATGCTATTCTAAGGTGGATTGCCTTGCTCAATGAAGACCCCTTGTCGTACATTTGACGTCAGGATCTCAATACCAAACAAAAGCAACAGTTGACATGAACTCAATAAAGGCTCTCTAGGTGCCACATATGGCAAGATTGCCATAACATCATCCTCCACCATAACTTCTTCATTAACATCATCCTCCACCATAACATCATCCTCCACCATATCCAATCAAACCTTAATTTTGAGAATACTTCCAAACTGTTCCTCATTTCTACTCTAATCAGTGAGTACTTAATCCCCTAAGTGGTTGCCCAAAAACTTCCCCATATGGCGTGTCATATAACCTAAGAGTAGTCCGTTCACTTGAATCCAAAATTCTTGATGAAATAGCGAAACCCTCTTTGGATTGGTCATGTTGCAAGAACCAAAATGAGCTGTTTATTAAACAGTCAGGCCCCCCCTTAGGATGGTGGTTTGCTCATAAGGAGAGTTGAATCTGAAAGAAAACAATCGTCTTCGAGATCGAATATCAGCACATGCGCTTTAAGGCGCCATTAATTCCTCATATGTCGCTTAAAGCTCCCCTTGTTTATTGGTTTAGAGGAAAGAACTTTACCCATTAGAAAAACCTTGGAAGATTTTGAAAATCCCACGTCTTGTTGGTCAACCACAATGATTTTCTATTCCTCTTCTGTAATAGCAAACTTCCCTAAAAACTTTGAAACTATTTCTTCCATTGTCGTTAGTCTTGTTGTAAGCCAAAACCAACCCCACGTGCACACTTTGAAACACCTTGTTGAGAATTGGAGGACTTTATCCCACACCATTAGGCAACTGGAACACACCCAGCCTTCACGCCTACCTCCTCGCTGGAAAGAGCAGCCTGAATCATCAAAAACCTAGCTTTTCCGATATACTCTTGGCAAAGATGACTTATAGACTAAAACCATGAGTAACATAAAAAATATAATTTTAGTCCCTTGATACATTAATAACCTCATTTATTAATTACATTTTCATTTTTTAATTATTTCTCTTTTTCTTCCTAATTTTAATGTATTAATTTTATTTCGTTATAATTATAATTGTAAGATTCCACATTGACCAACGGAGAGGGGGTGATGTGCCTTATATGTACATGCTCACCTCCCATTGCAAGACGCGTTTTGGGAACTCACTAGCTTCGGATCCCATAAGAACTCTGAAGTTAAGTGCGTTTGGGTGAGAACAGTCTTAGGATGGGTGACGTCCTGGGATCTTACAATCCACCCCACTTGGGAACTCACTGACTTCAGATTCAATCGAAACTCCGAAGTTAAGCAAGTTCGGACGAGAGAAATCCTAGGATGGGCGACCCACCGGGAAGTTCTCGTCTAAGTTCCCATAAACAAATCCGTGAGGGAATGGTAAGCCCAAAGCGGACAATATCGTGCTACGGCGGAGTCGAGACTGGGATGTGACAATAATTTTCATTTCATTTATCATAATATATTTTGTTGTAAACATTTAGATAAACTAATTTAAGTTATACAATATATTTCGAAGTACTTTGTCTTTTTCATTTAAGTACATTAAATTCACTATAATACATTTCGGTGCATACATTTAGGTACACATATTTTGGTACATGCATTTCGATACAAATATTTAGGTACATTAATTCATTTTGGTACACACATTTAGGTACATTTCGGTGCATACATTTTGGTACACACATTTAGGTACATTAATTTAATATAATACATTCCGGTGCATATATTTTAATACATACATTTCGGTACTAACATTTAAATACATTAGTTCAATATAATATATTTCGGTACGTACATTTAGGTACATTAATTGAGTCTTTCAAGTTTGAAGAATGTTAAATAAAATTAATAAATTAAAAAAAAATGGTCAAAAAATAAATTTAAATTTGTATATTAATAAATTTAAATATTTAATAGGACACATTTAATAAGATGCACATTAATTGTTTTGAATTAAGGACACACTGAGGGACCATAATAAATATGTAATCTAACACCAAGTTTATTTTAAATTTCAATCTTCTTGAAGAATTAAAGTTAAAAACCCCCTTTGAAGACAAATGTGTGTATATATATATATATATATTTTTATGTTTTGAAGTAATATTTATGTGACAATTTAGTATGTATATACTAATTTAGTATTATGTTTTCCATTTGTTTTGGGTTAAATTATGTTTTTCATTTTCATTATTTATTGATTTAAAATATATTTTCTTTAATTGGTAACAGGTCGAGTCTATTACCTGATAATATTAACGGGTTAACTTCGGATCAGATCATATTATCCGTTTACTTTAACGGGTGTTACACGATATGACCCATTAAGATATCTGGTATATCACGAAAACAACACGAACATAGAAAACGCAACACGAATGCCAAATCTAGTAAATTTCATGTTGTGCAATTTTGGGGCAGTATATATTAGACAACAAAATTTCTTTTATTTACCCTTTTACCATTATTCCCTCCATGATGGTAGATCACACAATAATGCTTACAATTTTGTTTGATGATCAAATCATTGTACCTAATTTTACATTATGCCATTGTAAGAGATTTTCCTCTTGCTGCATTATTGTGTATTTTTTGCTTTTCTGCTGCCAATTCTTTTAAGTTTCCATCAATTTTTTTTTTAGAGAAATTTAAGTTGTTTCTATCATGTTGTTAATGTTGTGTAACTTTTGTTTTTTCACATTATTCTAAGAATAATGCTTAGAAGACTAAATTTTTAAACAAAATTTACAAACCAAATTATATCACCAATTGGGAATAAGCACGTTAATTAATCAACACTTAAGTA